TGTCCACAGTTCCACCACCAAGCCACTCCCAAGGGTGGACTGTGAATGTGACACTTCCACACTCACCAGAGATTAGAAAAAACATTTCTATTAGAGGCTGAAACTAGCCCCTTGGTTTCCTCCCTAGAAAAGAGCTGCTTGGAAAACAGATGTCACTGGAAATGACAAAAGGAACAACAGCATTTTCTATACAATTAAAAGCAAAGGGATCATTGGCTAGCGCTAGCATTTCTTCTGTGTGATAAGGGAAGCCAGCCCTCTAATTTGGCTCTCTGGCTGGGCACATGGCAATGGCTAGGGGCCTGGGCACACATTTTTTTTTTTTTTTGAGACAGATTCTCCCTCTGTCACCAAGGCTGGAGTGCAGTGGCACGATCTTGGCTCATTGCATCCTCTGCCTCTTGGGTTCAAGCAATTCCTGTACCTCAGCCTGCCGACATAGCTGGGATTACAGGCATGCGCCACCACGCCCGGCTAATTTTTGTAATTTTAGTAGAGATGAGGTCTCGCCATGTTGGCCAGACTGTTCTTGAGATCCTGGCCTCAAGCAATCTGCCCGCCTCAGCCTCCCAAAGTGTTGGGATTACAGGCATGAGCCACTGCGCCCAGCCACGGGCACATATTTCATGTGGATAAAGTCGAGGCAAGAAAAAGACATGCTTTTCTCCACGTAGAAGGTATTTTTTAAACTGGCTTAATGGATTAAGATGGCTGCTGGGCACTGAGCATCCACATGAAGCAAATAGCAGTGTATCTGTAGGTTCTGGGACTGAAAAAAAAATCCCTTTAAGTTCCCTTTAAGTTCTTTTTGGCTTAGTAGCCAAAAAATAATCTTTGCTTTTTATACCTCCCCCATTCACAACCCCTTTGGGCTAAGCTGATTTTAAAAACATTTTTTTTTTTTGAGATGGGGTCTTGCTATGTTGCCCAGGCTAGGCTCAAATTCCTAGGCTTAAGCAAGCCTCCTGCCTCAGCCTCTCGAGTAGCTGGGATTGCAGGCTGCATGTGCACCCAGCTCCTAACAATTCTTCTTCTTCTTTTTTCCCCCTCTTATTGAGCCAGGGTCTCACTCTGTCACCCAGGCTGGAATGCAGCGGTGCAATCATGGCTCACTGCAGCCTTGACTTTCCCAGGCTCAAGTGAATCTCCCACATAGGTGGGACTATAGGCAGGCACCACCGTGCCCGGTTAATTTAGAAAAAAATGTTTGTAGAGACAAGGTCTATCATGAAGATTCATAATCTTCATGAATGTGGACAGTTTGAAGGAAAACCACTACTCTCGTCTCTTTTTCTAAGCACAAGTAGAGATTACAGCAAGTAGAGATTAAAACTCATTGGCTTACTGAGAACACCAAGAGAGGAAAGACACCTTGGGAATTAGGTCATAGCAATGCTTCAAACAAGACAACAACTGCCCATAACCCTACAAATTCTTGCAAAACAACAGTTACCCTTATTCAACAGTTACCCATATTCTTTCTTCATGGCCTACGGCATGACCGGCAGTTCTGCACTGTTACCCAATCCTGGATCACTAGGAACCGGAAATCCTTATCAATTTGGAAAAAGGGGAAAAACAGAAAAGTAGTGGTAAATGTCATCACTTTTTCCTCCCTGAGAAATCAGGAAATCTCTCCATGGAAGCCACTCATCCCCCTGGTTTTCACCAATAAGAAGGAAGCAAAGGGTATTACACACTAGAACATTCAGCTAGGCTGAACTAGTTGAGGAATTTAGATGCAGGCTCCCTTAGGTAATGAAGAAATTTGAAAAAAAAAAAAAAAAAATTTTTTTTTTAAAGCCAAAGGAGCTAGCTTAAGCCCCTAATGAAAAGCCTCCTCCTGAAATGTAAGGCTAAGTGTACAAACAGAACCAAGGTGTCTGATATGCTATCTTCAAAGCCCAGCACCACCATATATTGGTTTTCTCTAGAGTTGGAATTTTAAAAATCAAGAACTTGAAGGTACAGAAAGAATGAAAGGCCAAGTAAAGGAGGAAGGCATTATGGAGACAAATCACTGGAAACATGTTCAACTCCTTGGTGTCTGAAGAGGCATGACACAAACATAGAGCCCTTAGTAGTTGTGTAGGATGCTTCTGTTCACCTTGACTACAGAAGCAAGAATCCTGTTTTAAAATCCTCGCCCTATCATGAATGTTTAAGATAGTGACTAAAGCACTACGATGGCTGGATTCTTCAAACAAATAAGCAGTACTTTGGGGGTTCTGGAGACTAGAAGCTTTTTTTTAAAGGTAAGGATGTCTTATCCAAAGCAAAGCAAAAAGTTGAAAAAGTGCTATAAAGTCCATTCCCCTGCTAAGTTAAAGCTTTTTAAAAAAAAGATGCGAGAAGAAACCACCACTGCTGCTTGGCCCACTCTTCATGTGGGCTTTTGATGTCTCCTAGCTATACATTTCCTGGCTTCTGATGTGATCTGCTGAAAGAGGTCTTATAAACCTGAAATAGGTAACAGCAAGCTGAATTAAAAGAGGAATGAGAAAAAGTGCTAAGAACTAGTCACACCTCTATAATTGACTCAGATGATCGGTTTTGGTAGTTATGGTTAACAGACATCTGTTTGAATCCTACCAGAGTCTTGAATCAGGCCATGTTAAACTGTGTATGAAACTATTCTTGTATGCCCCAAATCTCGACTTATTCTCAATGACTGTATTTATATATACACTTGTATTCCTCCAAGTACTTGGATAAACGATGATACCTAGGATATGACTGGACCCTAGATTTATATTACAGTTTCAAGAAGAGACAACCAACCATGTATAATGTATACATAACATTTTGTTCTTTAGAAAGTACAGAGGTCCTGGATAGATCACAGGAGGTTTGTCTCTTCAAAATAAACTTGTAACAAAATTACACTTATCTTGAAGTAACTTTGTACCAACAAAGTTTTGCAGTGACTTCATGCAAGCCAAAATAAAAAGACCAGCAGGTAAGTTCATTGCCTATAAGTCTGTGACTTTTAAAAACCCTACATTTACATTATTAAATAGTAACTGCAGTGCAAAGGCTATCTGGTATTCCAGTGGGATTCTATGCTAGGAAATTAGATGTGCAGGAACGGTTGACAATGTATTTGATTTTATAGGACTCCTTATTTAGTTACCACGACCTCCTTCTTACTTTAACCTATACATGCTAAATATAGTCTCTGCATCTCTCCTTGGTTCTTTCATTCATCTTTTTCTGTTCTTTAAAAAAGTAAAATAAGACTTTGGAATATCTCAGGGGCTCATTAAAGCTCGCGGATGCTGACAGTGAATAAATTTATACTCAAGACATTAAAAACAAAACTTCACAAACAATAATATTGCTTACATCCTCTGCTACATGTAATGTACACAAACATACCACAGCTGATGACAAGACACCCAGGAGAATTTGGATTGATAATCTTTACCAATAAAAGGAGCAATTTCAAAAACTAAAATGTGTAACATGACTTTTTTTTTGAGACACAGTTTCGCTCTGTCACCCAGGCTAGAGTGCAGTGGCATGATCTCATCTCACTGCAATCTCCGCCTACTGGGTTCAAGCGATTCTCCTGCCTCAGCCTACCGAGTAGCTGGGATTACAGGCGCCTGCCACCATGCCTGGCTAATTTTTTTATATTTTTAGTAGAGACGGGGTTTCACCATGTTGGCCAGGCTGGTCTCGATCTCCTGACCTCAAGTGAGCCACATGCCTCAGCCTCCCAAAATGCTAGGATTACAGGCGTGAGCCACTGCACCCAGCCTGTATGTAACATGACTTTCATACACTGCTTTTCCATTCTGTTCCCAATCCTTCTCCTGTAACACTTGATGGATACAAAAGGACAAGCGGATCCTGGGTATAACCATGCCAAAAGTCCGCTTCACTTACACTTTGGTTCAACTAAAAAAGAACTTTAAAATGGTGATTTTCAGATTTGTTCTTTGGTCAGGCAGTATAAAGCTCTCTGAAAAAAGTCCCTTTACCTGGTTATAGTATGAAAACAGTCAAAATAGAAAATGTCAGTTTAGGAAAGAGATCTATGTGTTCAGAATTTCTCAGAAAAAAAAGAAAAAAAATGTAGACAGGCAGACCCTAGCCCCAGAGGCCAGATTCAATTGTCTTAGGACATCAAGAATAAAAGAGAACTAGCATTCAGAAGAGTAATATTTAAGTGGGTTAGCTTCCAAAAGGCCTAAATTAATAAATCTAATCCTTAAATAGGAACATGATAAATGATTTCTGAGCAGAGGATTTACCACCATTTTCCTTTATCAGTTTAAATCCTAATCTGGACCCAGACCCAGCCAGAGACTGTCATAATTTTCAAACGTAGAAATCAGTAGGAAATGCAAGCCACAGACTCTGCAAGGAGTAATCAATTCTTTCCACACTGCCCCTGCCCCTCACCCACCGGGAGTGCACATCACTCTACGGAGCGGCTTTGTACCCAACACTCAGATGTGAGAGTGGCCTTCTAACCAGCGCGGCATGTGGGTGCTTTGAAAACAGTAAGTGCTTTAAAAAAAACGGGGTGGGACATGTTATGGCTGGAGCTTGGCAAGAACCAGAATTTGCGCACATCCTCAGACTGTGACCATTATGAAGAAATATTTGATGGTAAAGGAAGAAATCATCTGGTGACCAGAACAAAATGGATTAAGACCAAACCCTTGGGAGATTACACAATAAGCCTTTCAGCAGTCATCGCTTACTGTTTTTCTTAAAAGACTAAACTTAAGATTAAAGGGTGAATACTTCTATTGATTACTTGAATGGTTAAATAAGGATTTCAAGGCTGGCCACCTCTGAGACCTGGGTGGGAAGTAAGTGGAAGGCACTTGCTCCCTAGGGAGGAGGGCCAGGTAAGTCTCCAGGCTGTGGAGACAGCGCCAGCAGTAGCTCTTGATGGGCCCAAGTCTGCGAGGTGCTGGGATGGGGGAGTGGCCTGTGTGGTTAGCCAGAGACAGGCTAGGGTCAGTGTGATTTCACAAGTAGAATGGTTACAAAATAAAATGTTTTTTTAATGGACCGAAAAAGCAAAGTGAGTCACCTTCGTTTTTAAAGGTGAGACTTAGCAAAGGAAGGATTTGAAGCAGTTTTTTACTATTTACAAAATGTCATTCAGAGTGGAGGTGGCCACCTTCAGTAGTTGAGGCAATGTCTTTCACATGAGATGGCCATAGAAGTGTGGTTCCTGGAGCTGGCTCACAAAGGCCACAGGCTGTCCTGGGTGAGGAAGAGTTCCTCTGAGGGAGCACCAAAAAGGCTCAGTCTTCTGTTTCTTCATATGTTGTCTCGTCAAAGGGCCTGTCCAGTAGAGGTACCAACCGATGGCGGGAATACTTCAGCTGCAATAGGTCCCCAACTTCATCTATCTCCTTTAAAGCCTAAAATATGCAAGACAAAGTAGAGGTCTGTCAGAGCCAGTAGGATGCAGGCGTGCCTGGTGTTTTACTTTGCTAAAAACAATCATGGCAAGATTATCCTTCAGCAGGACTTAGGTCTAGTGCATTTACAAGATCAGACTACAATACAGCTGTGGAAGGACCTGCTTTCTGAACAAGGCTTTCAAGCTCACCATGAATGATGGGTTGTGAATAGCCAGGTATGCAGAATAAAGGCTATAATTCAAAGTATGATATGCTTGGTAGAAAAAGTTATATGCACTCTGAACGCACAAAACCGACTAAAATTTGTCATCTCTCCCTTTTGTTTTTGAGATGGAGTCTCGCTCTGTTGCTCAGGCTGGAGTGCTGTGGCATCATCCGAGCTCACTGCAACCTCCACTTCCCACGTTCAAGTGATTCTCCTGCCTCAGCCTCCAAAGTAGCCAGGACTACAGGTGCCCACCACCATGCTCAGATAAATTTTGTATTTTTAGTAGAGATGGGGTTTCACCATGTTGACTGGGCCGGTCTCAAACTCCCAACCTCAAGTGATCCACCACCTTGGCCTCCCAAAGTGCTGAGATTACAGGTGTGAGCAAATGAGCCCAGCAACTTGTTTTTCTTTTTGAGACAGAGTCTTGCTCTATTACCTGGGCTGGAATACAGTGGCACCATCTCAGCTCACTGCAACCTCTGCCTCCTGCGTTCAAGAGATTCTCTGCCTCAGCCTCCTGAGTAGCTGGGACTATAGGCACACGCTATCACGCCCAGCTAATTTTTGTAGAGACAGGGTTTTGCCATGTTGGCCAGGCTAGACTCGAACTCCTGGCATCAAGTTACCCACCCACCTCTGCCTCCCAAGGTGTTAGGATTACAGGCGTAAGTCACTCCACTGGGCGTCTTAAACTTCATTTTTAAAAAAAATCAGTATTTGGAGAGAGATAACCACCAACAGTATTACTGATATATTCCAGCACAAGAAAAAATATTCTTCATTTCGAAATGTGAAAAATATAAAGCAAATAAGAGCTGAACTTCAATGCGCTATCACAACAGCAGCACCGCTGAGAAGAGGTGTAAGTGAAAGCTCCATATGGAAACAATTTAAGTCTGAAATTAAGCTGGGAGAACCCATTGACCATTTATTCACCTGACCTCTGTGATAAGATTTATTAATTTAAGACAAAAGTCAAAGCTGGCCGGGCCTAGTGGCTTATGTCAGTACCCAGCACTTTGGGAGGCCCATGTGGGTGGATCACCTGAGGTCGGGAGTTTGAGACCAGCCAACTAACATGGAGAAACCCCGTCTCTACTAAAAATACAAAATTAGCTGGGTGTGGTGACGCATGCCTGTAATCCCAGCTACTCAGGAGGCTGAGGCAGGAGAATCGCTTGAACTCAGGAGGCGGAGGTTGCAGTGAGCCGAGATCATGCCATTGCACTCCAGCCTGGGCAACAAGAGCAAAACTCTGTTAAAAAAAAAAAAAAAAAAAAAGTCAAGGCTGAACACGCTGACTCAAGCCTGTAATCACAGCACTTTGGGAGGCCAAGGCAGGCAGATCGCTTGAGCCCAGGAGTTAGAGACCAGCTTGGGCAACACAGCAAGACCCCATCTATTAAAAAAAAAAAAAAAAGCCAGGCATAGTCTCAGCTACTCTGGAGGCTGAGGTGGGAAGATCCCTTGAGGCCGGGAGGTGGAGGCTGCAGTGAGCCAAGATCATTATCACTGTACTCCAGTCTGGGTGACTGAGCGAGACCCTACCTCAAAATCATAATAAGACAAAAGTGCACATGATCACAAAGGAATGGGCATTTATAAACTCTGACTTCAGAAGAATCTAAAATTTTTTATCAATGTAGAAAAGTAATCATTAGAAAAAAAAATTCCTCAGTAGCCCAAGGGGATCTAGATTACAAGATTTCCTCTGATCCCACACCAAATATTTCAGACAAATCAGTATCATGTGAATAAAAGATGCCATTCTAGTAAGTGCTGACTCTTGTGTGGGGTGTGTGGGTATGTTAAGGACAGGGAGCCAGTACATGCATCACCATTCATTAACAAATAGTCTACACAGAACCTCTAGATCACAGGTAAGGTGGGTTCCTAGGAGAAAAACATATATTCATTACAGAGCTGAGTAACCCAATCCTCTAGGACAGCCATCCTGCCGCTCCCCTGAGCCAATATCCTTGCGCTTTCCATTTTAAAAAATAACAAAATTACAGCTTTGAGATACAATTCACATTCAACAAAATTCACTTTTAAAGTATACAATTCATTGCTTCTAAGTATATTCCGAGAGCTGTGCAACTTTTGTCACTATCTAGTTTTAGAGTATTTTTATCACCCTAAAAAGCAACCCCATACTCACTCCTCCCTCCTCTCAGGCTGGCTGCCACCAATCTATTGTCTGACCCTATGGATGTGCCTGTTCTGGACATCTCTCAAAATGGAATCGTAAGTTACGTGGTCTTTGTTTTGGCTTCTTTCATTTGGCCTAATGTTTTCAACGTTTATCCATGCTATAAGGTCAAAGCTTCCTTCTTCTGCATCCAGCTGACCTAGTACTGTTTGTTGAAGAGACTGTTCTTTTCTCATTGACTGGTCTTGGCTCCCTTGTTGAAAATAAAGGGAGATGGCCATAGATGCTTGTACTTTATTTCTGAAATCTCAATTCTACTTCACTGGTCTATATGTCCATCCTTATGCTAGTACTCGACTGTTGTAATTACTGTAGCTTTGTAGTAATTAGCTTTGTTTTAAAATTAAGAAGTGTGAGACCTCCCACTTTGGTTTCCCTTTTCAATACTATTTTAGCTATTCCCTCCCAGTTCCATATGAATTTGAGGATCAGCCTTTTAATTTCTGCAAAAAAGGGCCAGTGGCTTAGGGTCTCCCAGTCCATTTTTTTCTGAGAAATGCTGAACACTGGATCTGCAGGTTGCTATACTGCCATCTTAACAATATTAAATCTTCCAATCCATGAACATAGGATGTCATTCCATTTCTTTAAGTCTTCTTTAATTTCTTTCAGCAAAGTTTTATAGTTTTCAATATACACATCTAAACATACAGTGTGCAAGTGTAAATTAGCCAGTGGACAAGGGAAGGGCTTTCTTTTTCTTTTTCTTTTTTGAGACAGAGTCTCGCACTGTTGCCCGGGCTATGGTGCAATGGCACGATCTTGGCTCACTGCAACCTCCGCCTCCCAGGTTCAAGCGGTTCTTCTGCCTCAGCCTCCCGAGTAGCTGGAATTACAGGCGCCCGCCACCACGCCCAGCTAATTTTTTGTATTTTTAGTAGAGATGAGGTTTCACTATGTTGGCCAGGCTGAACTCAAATGCCTGACCTCCCAAAGTGCTGGGATCACAGGCGTGAGCCACAGCACCCAGCCCGGAAAGGCTTTCTTGATTAAGTTTATTACTAAGTATTTTATTGAGTGTTACTGTAAAAGAAATTTTCATTTCTTCATTGCTGGTGCACAAAATCACTAATTTTTTGTGTGCTGATCTTTTACCATGCAACTTTGCTGAATTCATTTATTAGCTCTAGCTGTGCGTGCGTGTGTGTGTGCGCGTGCGTGTGTATTTTATAGCACTTTCTATATACAGAATCATGTCATGGGGCCCATTATTAAATGAAAATTAATTTGTATTTCATAATGGTCTAGTTCATGTTAGTTCCATGAAACATCATAAGACAAAATAACTTTAACAAATCCATGGTTTCAAAAAATGCACTTTATGCTTTAAAAACTAAATGGGAAGCAAAGCCCAACAATCCCTCGAGTGAATCTTACAAAAAGGATTAGAACTCTCAGTTGGCAAACATATTTGTTGGCAACAGAAATCTCCTTAGATATCCTAAGGAGATATCCTGGTTACATCTAAATTCCTTCATGAATGTATACAGTTCTCAGGAGTCAAAGTTGTTGTCAGAAGGCATGGATTACTGCCATAGACGCTGCTTATAGTTACATGAACTTTTTTTTAAAGGCACGTTGAAACTCTGAGTTAACAGGTGAACATGAGAAAGAAAAAAGAAAACTCTTAAAACATCAATAGAGTAGGAGGGAAAGAAAAGCTGAAATCTCTAGGTTAAAAAAAAAGGAAGCAGAAATTCACCAGTAACATTTCTGAGAAATGAGAAAAATCTATTGGAAAAATCTGACAGGCATAATCAAAATAAAGAAAAAAAACATACAATATCAAAAAGCCAAATCTAATTGGATATTGTCAGAATGTGATTAAGAATAGGCTCACAACACTGTGCCTATAGTTAACAATACTGTATTCTACATGGAAAAATTTGATAAGAGGATAGATCTCATGTTAAGTGTTCTTAGCACAATTTTGTTTTTTAAAAGGGAATACACATAGTCGTAGAAATTTTGCTGTGTAGAAATAGAGAAAAAGTCAAAAGTCTTTGGCTATTCAGGAATATAAAATGTCCATCAAACTGTTATAATGAACTTTTATAAAGAAGCATTCATAATGTTCTTTATTAGTAGCTCTTGCCAGGCGGTGGCTCACGCCTGCAATCCCAGCACTTTGGGAGGCCGAGGCGGACGGATCACCTGCGGTTGGGAGTTCGAGACCAGCCTGACCAACACGGAAAAACCCCGTCTGTACTAAAAATACAAAACTAGCTGGGTGTGGTGGCACATGCCTGTAATCCCAGCTACTCGGGAGGCTGAGGCAGGAGAATTGCTTGAACCCAGGAGGTGGAGGATGTAGTGAGCTGAAATCGCACCATTGTACTCCAGCCTGGGCAACAAGAGTGAAACTTTGTCTCAAAAAAGAAAAAAAAGAAAAAAAAAGTAGTAGTTTTCTAACTCATTAATAGATATTTCTAGCAACCAATTTTATGCAAATGTCATGTTCTAAAACTTTGTAAACTCCCAGAGGGCAATACTGATTTAAACTCTGCAATCTTAGATTTGAAACAATAACATATTAAGAGAATATATAGCGATGAGAATATATTGAGATCATAAATAATCAAGCTCACTAATAATGATCCCCAACTAGATGCCTGGCAGTGTGGTGGGTGCTGGGATATAGAATGAGTAAAACAGATTTGTTCCTATCCTCAATATTTATCTAATGGAGAAGACTGCTATTAAGTAATTATACGTATGAAGAATTCAGTAAGGGAGACTCTCAGGATTCCAAGGGAACACAGGGCAAGAAGTGTGGGGCATCCCTGAGCAATTTTCCTCTACGTGGAGATTGAAGAATGAGTGGCAGTCAGCCAGGCAGAGGGGAGAGAAAGCTCAAGAGAGAAAATTTTAGACAGAACAACATACGAGAAAGCTTCGTGTAGAAATAGGTAGAGTGGAAAGAGAACTGTGGAGTTCATAGTGAGGGAGACAGTGGAGCAAGACACAGCCGGAAAATTCTCCAGAGCTCTGATGATTCCGGTGACAGTGTTTTTGTAAATGCCAACGTTTTCAGTAGCACTGTCAACTCCTTCGTCTTACTAGTAAATATCTTAGATGCTCACAAGAACATCAAGGTCAATATATTATGAATTTCATCTAATATACAGGCCCTTTTAATAAAAGGCATATTTATATCAAGGTGAAAGTGCCTACTTACAGTATCAAGTATTTCTTTGGTATGAGCTGCTGACAGGCAAAACCTGGCTCTGGACTCAATAATCGGGGTGGCAGGAAATCCAACCACAACGACACCGACGTTCCGCTTCAGCATCTCCCGTCCAAAGGCGCTGCAAAGGGGAAAACGAGAAACAGAAGCCAGGAGGAGTAAGAAAGCACTCATTGCAGACGACTTGCTGTCCCCAATGATTTCAACTTTTTGGTGATGCAGGCATTGGAGACTTCTAATAAGAGCTTCTTTTAACTTCTTTTAAAGTTAAAATTGATAGCTCACAAATACGTTTAAAGTCAATCCTGAGGCAGTCTTCTCCTATATGGTGTCCTTCACAAAACTGAAATAACCAGCCTGGGCAACATGGCGAAATCCCGTCTCTACCAAAAATACAAAAATTAGCTGAGTGTGGTGGCGGGCACCTGTAGTCCCAGCTACTCAGGAGGCTGAGGCATGAGAATCTTTTGAAGCCAGGAGGCAGAAGCTGTAGTGAGCCGAGATCACACCACTGAGCCTGAGCAACAGAGCAAGATTGTCTCAAAAAAAAAAAAAAAAAAAAAGTGTCCCTGATATATATATAATAGTGGCTCAGAGGCTTCAAAATGAACCTGTATTTAATTAAAATCTGGTCTCTGAAATGTTAAGCTTGGCAGTTTAACATGAGTCCTCAAATTCTGAGGATTCTGCAGCTGTGGGGGATCTGCTATAACATGGCACATCTTTTCTTCTAGCAGAATGGCTGACTGGCATGAGCTCTCCAGATCACGCACTTCTTTGATTGTCTTGGGAATAACACTGCTTCAGAATTCAGGGCTTCCTTTGGTGTCTGTAAGGCCAGTTCACCTGCTGGCTTCAACCGATTACTCAGATCACACAATTCGTGTTTCACAATCCCCCACCCCTACCAGAAGCCAAACTGGAGGCCTGTGGCCTTACTCCACATCTGTGTCTTGTCTAAATAACACATTCTAACTTTTATTTAATTTTGTCTACTAAATTATTTTATTCTATTATTTTTTTTTAGTCTCTCACTGTCGCCAGGCTGGAGTGCAGTGGTGCGATCTCGGCTCACCACAACCTCCACCTCCCGGGTTCTAGCAATTCTCCTGCCTCAGCTTCCTGAGTAGCTGGGATTACAGGTGCCTGCCACCACACCCAGATAATTTTTGTATTTTTAGTAGAGACGGGGTTTCACCATGTTGGCCAAGATGCTCTTGATCTCCTGACCTTGTGAGCCACTGCACCAGGCCCAAATTACGTTGTTCTTTGTCTTTTTCTCTTGTTGACCTCCCTTATGTTTTAACTTCTCCTTTAAACTATTTACAGCATTTGTCTGAGAATTAAAAAATCTGGCCGGGCCAGTGGCTCGTACCTGTAATCCCAGCATTTTGGGAGGCCGAGCTGGGCAGATCACCTGAGGTCAGGAGTTGGAGACTGGCCTGGCCAACATGGTGAAACTCCATCTCCACTAAAAAATACAAAGATTAGCCAGGTGTGGTGGCACACATCTGTAACTCAGCTACTGGGGAGGCTGAAGCACAAGATTTGCTGGAACCCAGGAGGTGGAGGTTACAGGAAGCCGAGATCGCGCCATTGCACTCCAGCCTGGGCAATATAGATCCTGCACATTTGGCATTACATTAATGCCAGCCTTTTCAGCCTTTTCCCATTCTCTGTAGTACCAGTACATCTTCCTCAACATACCTCCTTTGTGTCAGCATGAACCTGGGTGCCCTGTAACTTCAGCACAGGCTCCCAAACTGTCTAGTGCCTTATTCTAATTCTTCTTCACCTTCTCTAAATCTTTCCTAATTAAAGTATACACAGTCAGTTGCACCTATATAGAATAAAGGAGACACAGCCTTCTTTAAAAAGAGAGCTCTAGACTGAGTCCTTTGGATCTGATAACTCTTCGTGTTTGTTTATGAGAATTCCACTTAAAGAAGAATGAAGAAAATCCTTCCCCATATCCCCTCTGAAGCCATAATACTAACTACCCATATGACTTCATGTTGAAACCCGAATTCCTCTTTTTCTCTCAGGGAGCACCTTTTCCTTACTTCCCTTTCATTTTCTTTGAATCACATTACTTCCAGGCTCCCTGATTTAATTTCCTCTCCCATATTCATTTCAGTAAACACTTACTGAGTGTCGGAGACTGTGGTGGACACGGGGGATTAAAAAATTTTTAAAAATTGCTCCTTCAATGAGTTCAAACTGGAGAAATGCTTTAAGATCCAGCTCAAAACTCACTCATCCAACGAGATATGCCTTTCTTACTGAGCCTGTACTCAGCAGGTCACTCCTTTATTCTACATCTGCAGGGCCACTTTGCATATAATAAAATTTGTTCAGTATAATTACTGTTCATTTGCTTTTCAAATGTCTTCTGGTTTCATTATATATCTGGACTTCTCAAATACATTGAAAGTTATCGTAGGGCAAGACTTTCCATTATGTATGCCTCGTACAAACCAAAGAAGCTGGTGTAATCTGCACACCTGGCAAGTATCCAGTAACAAACACACTCTGATAAAATCTCTCTGACCTCATGGCCCATTGCTCCCCCTGGGACACTGTGCTGCAATTCCAGGGACCTCTCTGCTACTCTTAGGTCACCTAAGCAAGCGCGCTCCTGCATTGTGGCCTTTGCACAGATGCTTCTTTCTCCAATGGTTAACTGTCAGCTCCTTCAAATCATTTTTCCTTCCCACGGAGGCTTACTTACCCTGACCACACTATTTAATAGTGTTATCTGCCCACCCACAGGGCACTCTAAACTCCCCATATAGGTCCTGCTCTATTTTTTTCCATAGCACTTTCTAACATAGTACACAGTTCATTTATTACGTCTGTCTGACTGTTGCCCCTACTAGACTGTAAGCTCTACAAGGACAGAGATGTTTGTATTTTATTCACTGATCTATCCCAGGCCCCTAGAGAGTACATGAAACTCAAATGTTTAATGAAAGAACAACAAATTAACATACCTAACAATTTGGAATTCACTATTTGATCTATGGCATATGTACCAAATGAAGGTTAACACAATAAGGACAAGACCATTTTCCCTAACAAAATACGTAAGCCCTAGTCTCACATCACAGATAAGTATAAGGACAGACTAGTCTGTGATCTGCAACAAAACATACCCAATTTTGGCAGGCATGTAGAGCATCAAAGGCACTACTGGAGAGTCTTCATTTCCATAGATGATGAAGCCCATCTCTTTCAGGCGTCTCCTGAAATACCTGGTGTTTTCAGCTAACTGTTGTACACACTCTTTACCTGCAAAGTCGTGGTGAGAGAAAACAAAATAATATTAAGTAAAAAGGAATGGAAAAAAAGACAGCAATCTCCTCTATCTCCATTCTACCTAATCAGTTCTGTTTCGTTTTTTTCCATTTCACCATAAAATATTTTACACAGTAAACTGAAAGGATTATAAATGTAAAATGTCTCATTTTGTATTCTGTCATTCTACCTGTTAACAGCAGAAGTTATAATAATGTAAAAGACGTTTAATGGAGCGTTAGCATCCTCAAAGAATTTCAGCCATACCCCCTCACTGAGCACTCCACAAATCCCTGGACAGTAGGCAGGGTATTTATGATTATCTTCATATGATAGGTCAGGAGACCCTCACCAAGGTGGTGACATGCCTACAGTTGCACAACAGTGTGTGCCACATTACAAGTAGCAAGTGGCACAGCTTCAACTAGAATTTACGTTTTCTAACTTTAAGATTCATTCCAATCAATTGTGATGCAAATAAATTTTACACACGAGACCAGAGATGAAGCAATTTAGGCCCTCAAATTTTCATCTTCTGAGTTTCATTTTGTTGTTTCCTTACAATTTTTTTTTTTTTTTTTGAGACGGCATCTCGCTCTGTTGCCCAAGCTGGAGTGCAACGACATGATCTCAGCTCACTGCAATCTCTGCTTCCCGGGTTCAAGTGATTCTCCTGTCTCAGCTTCCTGAATAGCTGGGGTTACAGGCGCACACCACCACTTCCAGCTAATTTTTGTATTTTTAGTAGAGACGGGTTTCACCATGTTGGCTAGGCTGGTCTTGAACGCTTAACCTCAAGTGATCCGCCCACCTTGGCCTCCCAAAGTGCTGGGATTACAGACGTGAGCCACCACACCCTGCCTGTTTCCTTAAAACTCTTATCAGACAGCAGTAGCATATTTGTAATAGTATAAAGTCATATCTTTAATCCTATTGTGCTCATCTTCCCTAAAACACAAATGGATTAAAACGCACATTTCTGTAATTGCGAACTGACTAAATAATTGGGCAAGTTTTGACATTATGGTAAGTTGATCTTTGAAAAGATATCCAAATAATTGTTCTGTTATACAGAGCAATGCAATAAATTTAAAAGATCCACTTGTAAAAGGCTAAGAACTATTTTAGAATCTTCTCAACCATAAATACTCATGAATAAAAAAGGCTGCAGTAATTTTCATATATAGATTATAAAATCAGCAATTTTTTTTTTTTTTTTTTTTTTTTTTTGAGATGGAGTCTTGCTCTGTCGCCCAGGCTGGAGTGCAGTGGTGCAATCTTGGCTCACTGCAAGCTGTCTCCCAGGTTCAAGCCATTCTCCTGCCTCAGCCTCCCAAGTAGCTGGGACTACAGGCGCCCGCCACCTCGCCTGGCTAATTTTTTATATTTTTAGTACAGACAGGGTTTCACCGTGTTAGCCAGGATGGTCTCAATCTCCTGACCTTGTGATCTGCCCACCTTGGCCTCCCAAAGTGCTGGGATTACAGGCGTGAGCCACCATGCCCAGCCAAAGTTCTTATTTTTAAAAATTCAAACATGATACATAAGTTCTTATGACAAATTAGCCAGACATACAGATAGCTAACAAATGTCCTTAGAATTGGAATACTAACATATCCATCATTCATGGGAAGCTACTCTAGATAAGTTGGCCACAAATAAGTCAAAATTAATACTCTTTATGCAGATAATTTCAAGTTGATCAGAGAAAAACACTCAAGCTTAGATTAGCCTCGTGTGAACACTGAAGAGCATCATTTATGTCATCGTTTAAGTTACAAAGAAGAAAGCAGATATTAAAGTGTGTTATATTTAAGTATGTTGGGAACTGATGAGCCAAGTACCCTAATTTCCCCCTAGAAATATCAATACATGCTTAATCTACATTTAGAAGATGAGACTTCTTTCAGTCATGGAGTACTAGAGACTGGATTTTACCTTCCTGCTGTAAACAATAGGAAACCGGACAAAGTACATAAACAATGACTTTTAGACACTGAGCCACGGGGAGTGCCAGACTGCGTTGCCTGAAGGCAGGCCACAGGCTGCTGCACAGGGAAGGAGGGCCCAGTCTTGCCAGCTGAGGACATCTGAGATTGGGGTGGAGAGCTGTCCATTGAGATCAGAGCTGGGGAGGCTGCGGGGGCTAGAATTTGCTGGGCAGTGTACAGGAGCAGGGAGCGGGGGTGTGATGAGAGCGCTTTAGGGATCTGCAGAGGGGTCCCTTTGAACTTTGGGAAGAGTACTGATTTGTATACACACGAAGGGAAGCTAGCAGAGGCTGGGGAAAAGATCCATCAGAAAGCAATAGGCCAAACAATCCTGCACTCACATGGAGCTGGGAATAGTTTGTATTTTTATCCACCAAAATGTAAAGATCTTATAGTATGTGGAGTCCTCAGAAGGGGACTCCACTCCTATCACCTTAGTAGTGGAGACAAATTAACCCTAGACTAAAAATTGGTCTGAACCCACCCTAACCTTAAAAGCAAGCCTTGCAAGGATCCTGTTGATTCCAGGAACAAAGTCCAACATTACCTAAAGGAAAACAACAAGATATAGAACCTACCAATGTAAAATTAACAATGTCCAACATATAATTTTAAAATTCTAGGCATTCAAAGAAACAGGAAAATATGATGTACAACCAGCGGAAAAGTCAGTTAATAAAAACCGACCAGAAATAACAGAGTGTTAGCAGATACGGATGTTAAAGGCCATTATAAATATGATCTATATGTTCAAAAAGGTAGAAGAAACATGAGGGAGAGAAATATATAAAAAGGAACAAATGATTACTAAGGCAACAATGCTGATGAATCTCAAAACTTATATAACGTTCCTTGAAATAACCCAGACATGAGACTGCATACTGTATGAATTTGTTTGTATGAAACTCTAAAAAGACATACTATAATGACAGAAAACAGATTCATGGTTGCCAGAAAGTATGGGAAGGGGGCTAATAGCAAAGGGGCAGGAGGGAACTTTCAGGAGAGGCGATGAAAATATTCTAACTTTGATTGTGGCATGGTTATAAGATTGGATACATGGGGCTGGGCGTGGTGACTCACGTCTGTAATCCCAGCACTTTGGGAGGCCGAGGCAGGTGGATCATCTGAGCTCAGGACTTCAAGACCAGCCTGGCCAACGTGGCGAAACCCCATCTCTACTAAAAATACAAAAATTAGCCAGGCGTGGTGGTGGGCGCCTGTAATCCCAGCTACTAGGGAGGTTGAGGCAGAAGAATCGCTTGAACCTGGGAGGTGGAGGTTGCAGTAAGCTGAGATCGCCCCACTGCACTCCAGTCTGGGTGACAGAGGGAGACTCTGTCTCTAACATAACATAACATAACATAACATAAATAAAATAAAATATAGAAAGACTGGATATATGTCAAAACTCCGGGAATTTATTAGTTGAGTGTACATTAATTTTTTCTGCATCCAATTTACCATTTTACAACTCACCACCCTTTTTTTTTTCCTTTTCTTTTTTGAGACAGGGTCTTACCATGTCACCCAGGCTGGAGGGCAGTGGCACAATCTTGACTCACTGCAACCTCTGTCTCCCGGGCTCAAGAGATCCTTCTGCCTTATTCTCCCGAAGCTAAGACTACAGGTGTGCATCAACACGCCCGGCTAATTTTTTGTTTTATTTTTTGTAGAGATGAAATTTCACCATTGTTACCCAGGCTGGTCTGGATGTCCTGGGCTCAAGTGATCCACCTGCCTGACCTCGCAAAGTGCTGGGATTACAGGTGTGAGCCACCATGCCGCCCAGCCACCACCTTTTAAAAAAATCACAAACCTTTTAGCTATCAAATCACAAATTAACTAGCCTCTGTTTAAAAAAAAAAAAAAAAAAAGTCTTTTCAAACTAAAAATGAAACTACCATACAATCCAGCAATCCCACTACTGCTGTTTATCGAAATAAAAGGAAATCAGTGTATCAAAAGGATATGTGCACAGCTGTATTTACTGCAACACTATTCACAATAGCCACGATACGGAATCAATCTAAGTATCAGCAGATGAATGGATAAAGAACTGTGGCAGATACACACAATGGAATACTATCCAGTCATGAAAAGAATGAAATGCTGCCATTTGCGCAACATGGATGGCACTGAAGGTCATGATGTTAAGCGAAATGAGCCAGGCACGGAAAGACACATGTCGCATGTTCTGACTCATGTGGGAGCTAAGAAAGTTGATCTCGCGGAGGTAGAGAGTAGAACAGTGGTTACCAGAGTCTGGGAAGGGTAGGGAAAGGAGGTTTGAAGAGAGGTTGGTTAATGGGTACAAACATATAGTTAAATAAGAGGAATAAATTATAGCATTTGATAGCACAGGATGACTACAGTTAACGGTAGTTTACCGTGTATTTCAAAATAGCTAGAAGAGCTGAAATGTTCTAAACACAAAGAAATAATAAATGTTTGAGGTGATGCATATCCTAAATACTTGATTTGATCAGAGTATTTGATACTGTATGCATGTACCAAAATATCATACGTACCCCATAAATATTATTAAGTATCCATTTTTACAAAAAGGAAAGCCAGGCACAGTGGTGTGATTCTGGCTACTTGGGTGGCTGAGGCAGGAGGATCTCTGGAGTCAGCAGTTCGGCGCTGTAGTGAGCTATGATCGCACCTGTGAACAGCCACTGCACTCCAGCCTTGGTAACACAGTGAGACTCTTGTCACTTACGAAAAATTAGCCAGGCACAGTGGCTCATGCCTGTAATCCCAGCACTTTGGGAGGCCAAGGTGGGTGGATCACCTGAGGTCAGGAGTTTGAGACTAGCCTGACCAAATGGAGAAGTTCCATCTCTACTAAAAATACAAAGTTAGCCAGGCATGGTGGCACATGCTTGTAATCCCAGCTACTCGGGAGGCTGAGGCAGGAGAATCGCTTGAACCTGGTAGGCAAAGGTTGCTGTGAGCCGAGATCGCGCCATTGTACTCCAGCCTGGGCAA